CCGACCGTTCTAGGGGATCCGGGACGGGTCGAAAAAGCTCCGAGAATTTTTCGAGGAGTGGTCAGTCCGTATATGTCGAACGCCGTCTCTAAACACTCGGACATCCCATTGTAGGCCTAACGAACTTGATAAAAGAGGTCCTTTTAGTGCACACAGAACGGAAAGCAGGGCCGGATTAACCCACTTTGGGGCCCTAGACATTTTCTTCTTACCGGGCCCCCCTCCCTCTCCCACAAGAAATAAAGCACACAAAAGATTTAAAACAAACCTAAATACTGTAATGTAGAAAACTAAAACAAATCTTAATTTTAGTTTTTCTAGAAAAGTTTGAACAGTTTGTTTATAAATTTAAACAAATTGAAATTTATTTTATTAAATGTCTAACAAAAGTTGTTATACAATAACAATATTACCTTAAAATATCAATTGTTTAATTTAACGTTTTTGTTTAATATTTNCACAACTCGTCTCTCACGTTGTCTTGGAGTTTTACTTCCTTTGTCTATCTCCTCAAATTCGGGGAAGTCTTAATCTCCTCCTCCTTTGTTCAACTCTCGTTCTTAGAAAGGGTAATCCTCACCCTCAAGCAGTAACGATTTATGTAGAAATTGCTTTGAGACAATGGAAAGGAAGTTAGAAAATAGAAACGAAAGAAGAAAATAGAAAAAAAGTAAAGAACTTACGAACTATATAAAGACTAAAGTATGGCTGACAGCCACACACTACTAAACGGACGTAACGACAACTCTAATATAACGTCAAATCTTTATCGGTCCCACGATTTTACTATACTAGATAATGTTAAAAAACCTAGTAGTAACGACACCGTTTTAATGTCATATTTGAAGCACTCCCAAATTTACAAAATTAGATTACAAATTTTATTTAACATAGAAGAAACGTGTTCAGTCCTAAGGTCAGAGTTCACTTCTTAGAATGACTGTGGGTGGTATTCTCCCCCACCTGACTTCGGTGGGGTAAGGTGGCTGTTTTGCCTGTTTGTAGAAGAGGGTCGCCATTTTGTATCTTATTTTGACTCGGTTCTCGGTCCCCTGACTACCTACGAGTCTGGATTTCTTTATGTGCAAATGATTTGGGCACCTAATACTCTGTGCCAAATATCAACTCTCTGTTAATGTTACCTATGGTTCCCAACTCTCGACATGTACTCCTTCATACCTCTAAGCTGGTAACATAAACTGGCGGTACGATTATATAAACAAGACATAGTCTTGTCAAAAATTATAAAATTATTTTAATAATGGTAAATGACCTACCTCTCAACCTCAACTTGTCCTTACAGCAGAAAAATAAAGAATTCAAAATTCACACCTACAACTAACTACTCACTGTTAAACACTAGGAGCGCCCCCAGCTATTATTTAAATTAAAAATATAATTATTATTGTCACAAAATGACACTGCTGCTACTAGATTTACAGTCATTGAAAAACCTCCCTTAGGGCGCCCTAGCGATGATTTTCAGCTATTATTTAGTACAATTGAGTATGTTATTATTTTTATTTGCAATAGGAATTTATTATTTATAAACGCCCACTAGGGGGCCTCTCGGGCGGCTAGTTTAACAATATTTCACAGGATATTAAGAAAACATATAGTTAATATTATTCTTATCGCTATAAAAAAAATCTAAATTATCGGAAGAATTACTTTCAATAAGAAAAAAATAAGAACACATTTTCTTTAGATTTTCAATAACGATATAAAAAGCAATATATTTTTGTTTATTTGTTTATTATATACAGTTGGCCAACAGAAAAGTAAACTATCTTATTTACAAATCTTTTCAAAATAGACAGTTTGACCGGGCCCCTCAAAAATCCGGGCCCTAGATATTTGTCTCATTTGTCTATTCGATGATCCGGCCCTGACGGAAAGAGTTAAAAAAAACTATCATAACATATCATTATTATTGTCAGCTATATGAACTACATTTTAATGATGAAATTAGTAATATAATAGTTGTCATTTAGTATTCAACTTAATGATTTTTTGTTAATTTTCAAGAGGCATTGACGGACAAAGTTCTCTCGACGTGATTCAGTACCGTGCCTTCTCAATGAAAGACAATTCAATTTCCTGCTGCTATTTGGAAACCGATGATAATTTTCTCTTATTTAAAATTTTATAATTTTGAATAAATATATACACACACACATATATATATATATATATATTTATTTATTTATTATTATTATAATATATATATATATAGTAGCGTGTATACCAGGAATTTATAAAAAATCGTGTATTTTGTTTCAGTATATTGTCGAATTAATCACACAATTAATTGGATTTATTATAATAAGAANTATACACTGCTGGCCATTAAAATTGCAACACCAAGAAGGAAAGCAAATAAAAAAAAGATATTTATTGTACATAAACAGTATGGCATAAAGACAAAATTATTAAATTTGCAAGCAGTTTCGGAATTTACAGGGGCGCGAAATTAGTAGACACACTTGCCACCCCCGGCGGCTAAAACGGCCTTATCCGTTTAAGCATGGAGTCGAACTGGGCTTGGATGACAGAAACAGGCAACTCATTCCATGCTTCTTCAAGTCTATGCCAGGCTTCATCAACTGTATTAGCAGGAGTAGGGTGGCGGGACAGTGTCTCAGCAACCCATAACCTGATGTTTTCAATTAGTGAGAGATCTGGAGACCGTGCAGACCAGGGCACACAATTGAATATCCTCTGTATCGAGGATATCGAGAATATCCTCTGTATCTGTATCCTCTGTATGTCAGAACACGACGTGCAACATGAGGTCTTGCATTATCTTGTTGGAAGATGGCATTTTGCAGGCCTCAAAGATATGACACAACCACTGGACGTAAGATGTCAGAAATTTACCGATCTGCATTTAAATTACCATCGATCCGAACTAGAGATGTGCGTGTCGTGTACCCAATGGCTGCCCATATTATCACATCAGGTGCAGGGCCCCTAAGCTAATATCAGATGCAAGCAGGCGACGAGCGGTTTGCTCGGAGCCTCCAGACACGTATACGGGCATCAGAATGTTGCCCGCAGAACCGGGACTCGTCTGAAAAGACGACATTGTGCCACTCCTGTATCTAGCTTTGTCGTTGGGCGCACCAGAGTCGCCGTTTCTCTCTATGCTGCATTGTCAAGGGAAGCCGAAGTAATGGTCGCCGTGCTGACAGTCCACGCTGCTGAAAACATCGTCGCACCGTACGAGCAGATACTGGACGTGCTGCAAACAAGCTCATTTCCTGACTAATGGTCCGTGATGTGGTTGTACGGTTTTGCACGACCGACCTCACAATATGTCACGGAACTGTCCTCTCGGGCGTTAGTCATGGGAGGGCGTTGAGATCCTGCATGCTGTTCAGTAAGATCCTCAGCAGCCCATCGATTCCATATTCGCATGACAGTGGTTGAATTTCGACCAGTGCGAGTGGCAATATCACGGGACGGTAATCCACACTCTCGATAGGCAATGATCCTGCGTCTATCGAATTCCAACACTTGCTGGTAAGCATTTCTTCTTCTTATTCGAGGCATAACACGATATTCTGATGAAACTCCGACCTCACAAAGCGATTTCTGAATGAAAAATCCACTGCACAACTTTTCTTTTATGCAGTGCTTCAGATGTCGTTTGTCCCTCCTGCATTGTCTAAATGCACTAAAATACTAATCATTTGCATATCCCAACCTCTTCTTCCTTTCATATGATTTTGACGTTCATACGATCATTCCTTCCTGGTGTTGCAATTTTAATGGCCAGCAGTGTATATACGTTATACTTATCGCTTCTTAAATTTTTTAATCTCTTGAAGTTCAGTAGAAAATATGAGGGCAGGCTGAAAAGTAATACACACATGCTTGTAGAACACGAACAAAAACAAATAGCAAGATCGGGCAAAAAGTACATTAAAGTACAATTCTTAAGCTTCAAAATCATATATTTATTTTTCAACATAGCCTTAATGATGACTAACACATTTCTCCCAACGTGTAACAAGTTTTTGATTCCGTCACTGAAAAATTCTTCCGATTTTTCTCGAATCCAAGACTTGACAGCTGCCTTCACCTCATCGTCTGAGGTGTAATTGAGGACTCTCTTAAGTAGGACTCTCTTAAGTGAGGACTCTCTTAAGTCTCTTGAGGACTCTCTTAAGTAGAGGAAACAAATAAAAATCACAAGGCGCAAGATCGGGAAAATGAGGAGGGTGTGGAATCGGTTTAAACTTCAGGTTTCTCAGAGCCTCTCCAGTTGCGCGCGAGGTGTGTGGACGAGCGTTGTCATGTTGCAAGATTATTGGTGCCAGGCTGCCTCTAACATGTCAAACTCAACGTCAGAGGTGTTTTAGAGTCTTATGTACTGAGAAGAATTAAACATTGCAACAAGGTTCAACGGCAATTGTCTGTGGGAGTGATCGGACTTCCGCTGAGTGTTTCATCAACAATTATGGCTTTTCCAGGCTCGCAACCACGAAATTTTATTATCCATCAATTTACAATAGACCTATCAACAGCATAGTCACCATAAACATCCTTTAAACGTAATTTTTTCAGCAGTTAAAAATTCGATAACAGCACGCTGTTTAACTCGCGTTGACATAGCACCAGAACATGTCTCCATATTTCCGCTTCTCAAAATATACTGAACGAACGCAACAACCTCAAACTGCGCATACACATAGAGGGGGAATGTTAATTCCATATGCCACCTGGCACGCTTCTGAAAATCATATCGTTTGTGCTCTACAAGCATGTGTGCATAACTTTTCAGCCTGCCCTCGTAGTCTATAATGAGCTGTTAATGCAAATTTAATATATTTTACATAAAATACTTTTCTATATAAAACTTTTAATATTTTAAATTTAAGAAGTAAAATAATGACAGCATTGTAGAAAAATATTATAATACAGAAAATTAAAAAAAAAAAAAAACATCGACAACAAATATCAGCAAATGTACAGTAGCGCCCTCTCACGGTCTCTTCCGTCAATCTCGATTGTCAGTGACATGTTTAGCGGAAGTTTTTCATTCACGAGTCATTTTCTCGTTCAATTAATTAAATTACGAATAATCAATTAAATTATAACAACAATAACAGTTTCAGTTGACATTTAATATTTAAATATATTGGTGACATGTCCATCTTATGATCTGATTCGATCGGCTTTTCATTCCGGTAAGTCCAAACAAAGAATTCCGAATTTCGGTTCATTAGCAAATTTCTTAATTCTCCTTTAAGTATTTTATTTAAGAAGTTTTACAATGTTACGTATCGATAATCGTATAAATAGTGCTTTTAACTTGCATAAGTATTTTTATATGATAAAAAAAAATAGTTGATATTGATCGTGACGTCACTAGTAAACTTTTCCTTCAGACACGTGTACTTTTTTATACAAAATCAATCTTGTATTTATGTATCTACGTATATATTTAAAACGATTTATTGTGGCGTATAAATATAAGCCTAATTAGATTTATTATCTTCAAATGTTTTTTTCTTAAAATATTCGCTAATTATAAAACGTGAATAGGAATCATGTAAATTATCTAATAAAAAAATTTTTTTTGTTTGCTTTTATCGATAATTTTAAGCCGATTTCTAAAAAAATTAAAGACTTAAATTTTGATTAAAAATTTAATATCGGTTGCTGAAATATATTTAGAAATCTAAATTATTCTTCCCTTGTTATGCCCCATTAAACGTCTGATACATAATTGCTTTCTATTGTATACGAAGTAGGTTTGTATAAGAGATTTTGTCTTTGTAGAAATGTATTTTATAAGCTCTAATTTGTACATTTATATTTAAAAAAAACAATAATTTATTTTTAGTTAAAATTTTTAACTTTATGATGTTTTTTGTTTGACTGATTAAGTAATTTGCAACTAGTCTTGAAGTTATTTTACTTCCATTATTATTTTCTTTACAAAGGAATTATTTAATAGTTTACAATAACTAAATAATTGTCTTTTGTGTATACATATATATCAATTCATTAAAATTTATTATAATTAAAAAAAAGTTATTCATTTTTAGATAGTTATAAAGGTGATGTTTATTATCCCATTATCCTTGATGAAAGTTTGAAATTTAGTAATCAAATCTTATATAGTTTTTAGTAAATGTCTGTTTTTATTTAATCAGTAAAAATAATTAATATATATATATGAATATATATATATATATAATTTTAAATATTTTGTTTAAATTATTCAGATAAAACAAAAACCTTAAATTCTAGCATAGGCATTCAAAAGTCATCGTTAGAAATTGCAGAAACTCTTTCCTAAAGTTAAAATACTCAAAAATATATATTATGATTGAAAATACTTCACTCTTAAATTTCATAGTTTTTAATCTTATAAAGTAATAATTTTATGGTACTATTTTAGAAAAGAATTAAGATACTGACCATTCTTAGATCCAAAGTATTTAAAATACGAAGAAAAATATTAAGGCTTTAGTTAAACATGTTTTCTAGCTTAAGTCACAAGTCTTTAAAGGATGAAGTGAATTTAAGATTGTTTGTTTATTTATTTGATTGAATTGCTTGATCTGTAAAAATATAAAGGTGAATTGTTAGAATGGGTAAACAAAATATATTAATAAACAAATATATGCTGAGTGATCAAAGGCTCAAAAAGACCATAAAAATACAAATAACCACAGATATTAAAGTTAAATTTTACTTTAAAGGACTAAAAATCATGACCAGTTAAGGTAATTATATATAAGATATAAAAAGTACAAAAGGTATGAGGTGGTATCAGAAAGTTCCTAGACTCTTGCTGGCATGACTACCATTCAACCCAACTGTGTGTATTAGTGAAAGTCATCAGTTTCAAGTCTGCCAAGTCAGTGTACTGAGTGTCATCAGAGGGTCATATATATAATCATTACATTTGATTTTGTGAAATAGTGTGAGGACTGCTCTACAATTGTGATGATAGCTAACAAATTTGTGTCAAGCTTGGGAAATCTACCACCAAGACCTTCAAAATGCTTCAGCAGGCTTTGGTGATCATCCATTAGGCCAAACACAGGTTTTTGAGTAGCATGCACATTTCAAACTAGGCTTGTTGTTTTCAACATTAAGGGCATTGTTCATCAAGAATTTGGACTGATAGTCAATTCTGATTTTTACTGTGATGTTTTGAAGTGCTTGAGAGAAGGTGTGACAAAAAGATGAACTGTGGCACAACAGCAATCATGACAACTTGGTCCCTCATATCTTGATGAAGACAATGCAGTTTGGCAGAAAGATAGTGGTTATTTTACAACTTCTGTACTCACCTGATTTAGCTCCCTGTGTCTTTGTCTTGTTCCCCAAAGTTAAATTGAGACTAAAGGGTGCTGTTTTCAGACTGTTGATGAAATTCAAATGGAATAGGCTACTTGTTATAAGTTTTGCACTACTTATGGAGACCTCTTATGGTAAAACAGTAGACTTTGTAGGAAATGTGTTACAAACAGCATGACTAAGCTAACATGGTGAATTTGGTAAACTTTTTCTCTGGAATAAAGAAACAAAATATTTGTAATGTTGTAGGATGTAATAATTCTTACAGTAATACCACAGGGGTAGTTTTTCATTTTTTTTCAAATGAAAACAACCCAGTTAGAAGAGAGGCATTAATGCTGTACAGAGGCTTTATTTTTATTTGTCCATCTTCATTAATTATAAAAGCATTCCTATGTTTTGATGGACATTTTATTTCCACTAAGCAATAATGTCTGGCACTGTCTCTGATAATGCCATCTAAAGAACAGCATAGTCATGACATTTCTGGGCAATGCACTCTTCATTGAGTAGATAATATCCGAAGAGTTTTCTTTCAGTATACTATTTGAATCAGCTAGGGATATGTGTTAGTTTGTTTTCCTATATCTTTTTGTTGTTCCAAAAACATGGCTAAACCTTGTTGCTTGTTTGTATTCCTTTTTTAAAGTTGCTGGTTTTTTTCAAGTGTGTGGTAAACTTGTTCTTGATCATATTTTTTCCTTTCACTAATAAAAAAGTAAGACATGCTGCATGCTTGCAACTACCAAGAAGTCCTGTCCTGCATGAGCAAAAGGCATTAATAATTTGCTATTGGTTTTTAAGCTGAGAAAATAATATACTACCATTAAGTTAATTTGTTTATGTTGATTCTTTTATTGGTTCTCTTATCTCTTATGTTGATGACAGAAAATCTTGCGCATATATTTTTCTTCTGCACTGAACATTAGATTTTAAAAATTTTTGCATTAATATTTTTATTTTTAAAATACAACACATTTTTATAAAACTGTATCAGTACAAATATATTTTATAAAATTAAATTTTAATGGCATTTAAAAAATGATCAAAAGAGATGTAATATAAATCAGTGGTTCTTAACCTTTTTATACTCACGACCCACCAAATATTTCATAATTTTTTGTGACCCCCATTTTTTTAATACAATAATACCTCAATGTACGCGAACCTGGAGTTATGCAATTTTCAAATCTCGTCGATTCGTCTTTTGTTTGAGCGCCACGCAACTCNTAAAACATAACTTTATTATTTCATTATCTATTTAAATAACATTCAAATTCCACAATTAAACAAAAATTCATTAATTTTTAACAAAAAATAAAATAAGAAAAGAAATAAAATAAAATAATATAAGAATAATATAAAATAAAATAAGAATTTAAAAATTTATAGAAAAAACAAAAAATATTCAAAAATATGTACTAGTGAAAGGCAGCAAATTTTGCATTGCTGCTGAAAATTGGAGAGGATATTCTTCACAAATTTGTATCCAAAATTCCAAGCATTAATAGTTTCTTAGAATTTAATTTGAAATAAAAGAAGTAAATAGTATGGTGTAAGTAACATATTTACATTTATTTCTTCTGTACTAACAAAGTTGTATGTAGGAAAAAATAAGAAAAAGATAAAAAGACTAAATACGAAAACTTTATCTTTCTTATTTCGCTTTTCAATATGATATTTGGTTAAACATCAATTTTCTTTTTATTATATTCTGAAGGAAATTTTGCATAATTTGGCGGCCTCCAGCAAACTTCTTGCTGATCCCCAGGGGGCTGTGGCCCCCTCTGTTAAGAAACGCTGATATAGATGATTAACTTTCCTTTTGGCAACTTACTTATAATGGAATTTTTATCTAGATTTGTATAGGTTACATAAGTATAAGCATTTTGGAATAATTTATCAAAAGCTGTATATTTTTGAATATTTTGAGTAACATTATGAAAATGGCCTAGTCCTTTTAATTTTTTGGTACTTTTTGGTTAACAGGATGCCAGCAAATATGTTACAATAACTGGTAAGATTCAAGCTCTGAATGAGGGGTCTTACACTACCCTAGAATTGTTGACCCTTTGCCAGATCTCCAAAGGTCAGTTTTTAACACATATCAGTTTATCCGCTTTTCTACATGTGAAGCATATAGATGTGCACTTCGGTGCCTGCTATCGCTTGCACCTTGGCATCTGGGTGGGGGCAAGCCCCCACACCCTGTAGAACTATATAACATCAAATACTTGGGCTACTTGAAGCTGGCATAGTTGCTTGGACTAAATTATTAAACGCAAAAGTCTTTTGGTGTCCCGTTAACCGAAAAGAATCAATTTTTTCCCCTGCTCAAATGTATTTTCTACAAAAAAATCGTCCTCAAAAGTGACGGGAAAAAGAATTATTTCTTAAAATCATTCTTTGCAACTATGTAAGTACATTACATGTGTTTGTAACTACATTTTTAAAATTTCCACTGCAAGAGAATGCTTTACCGTAGCACCATCTGATTTAGGCAGGAAGCATATTACAGGCGGTATTGGCATGTTTTTGGGAAGTGGACTTTCACAATGTCTTTGAGTTATGGAAGAGGTGTTGGAATTGCTGTATATGTTCCCAAAGAACTACTTTAAAGGGGATAGTGGCCAGATTTGAATAAGATAATCCAGTAACTTTTTATATGCCTAGTCTGGAAACTTTCCAATGTCACTTCATATAAACTACAAAAAAGTTGATAAAGATAGCAAGTTAAAGTTTAAGAAAACATGTATAATTCCTTTGATAGTAGGCAATATTTTATTAATAGTGAATATACTCTTGCCATTGCTGAATTTTACAGTGTAGAATGGCTATTAATGAAAATAATCTTGAAATCACCCAGTCATAT